GTAGAATCACTTTATCTTTGTGAAAAACTGTAAAGCGCAGATTCGCCTTTAATGCACCAATTTCACTCACCCTCTTGGCTGATGTAACAGCTATCGATAGAGCCACCTTCATCAATTAAGTGGAGCATGGAGCCATGGGTTTGAATGATGTATGGGTGAGGGCACAAAGTACTAAATTGAGGTCCCAGATTGGGACTGGAGATTTAATAGGCAGAAAAGTGTTCTGAATGCCCTTAATGAAGCACTTAGTTGTAGGAAGGGTGAAGATAGATTTGTTTTCAGTGGGTTGATGAAAAACTATTATAGCCACAACGTGAACCTTTAATGAACTCAATGAAAGGCCTGAGTGTTTTAGGTTTAAAAGATATTCCAAGACGGCCAAGAGTGGTATTGTCAGTGGGATTGCTGACCTTTGTTTTGCCCAGAGCAAGAATCTACGCCACTTATACAGGTAAGATCTTCTGGTTGTTAGCCTATGGCTGTTCAGTAAAATTTGTTTAACTTGATCAGTGAATGTTGTTTCTATTGAGGAGAGCCACTGAGAAACTATGCTCAGAAATGAAGGATCTGGAGGGATGGATGGTGAATTTGTCCATTCTGCTGCGTGAGAAAATGGGGAAAGCAAATGGAGATGCCATGCTGACCTCCTGGAAATCTGTAGCAGGTAAGCGTACCAGGTCTGTCATGGTCAGGCTAGAGTGATAAGCATTACTGCTGCTGCATCTGCTGTTATTTTATTAATTATTTGATGCAGAAGCAGAATTGGAGGAAACACATAGAAGGGATGCACTCCAGGGTATTGTGAACACATCCCCCAGGGAACACAAGCCAATGCCCGCATATGAACAGTATTGTGGACACTTCCGGGCATCAGCTGTCAACAGGTCCACTGTGGAGAACCTCAGTGACTGAAGTTCTGTTGTAGAAAGTTGGTGTCCATTTCCCATTTATGATTGGAGTTGAAATTTCTGCTGAGACTGTCTGCAGTAAGATTGTCCTTGCCCAGAAGATAAGAGGCTTGTATGCGTACATTGTGAGCAATACACTATGTCCACAGACTGATAGCCTCTCTCAATGAGACCTGGCTCCCCCCTCCTGTTGATGTAACACATTGTGGCTTGGTGCCCGTAAAAATCTGAACTGTACTGTTATATACAAGATGAAGGAAATGTTGGTATGCGTAAAATACTGTTCTGAGTTCTAATATGTTTATGTGCAGGACGTGCTCCTGTGGAGACCAACATCATTGAGAGCACCAGAGAGTACACCCCATCCCAGGAGGGAGGCATCTGTTCTGATGGTCACCGTCGGGGAATGTCTGTGGAAAGGTACCCCACAATATACTTTTTCTGGGTCGTAAGCCCACCCGACTAGTGATCTCATTTGATTTTGTTTAAGATTGAGAGTAATTTGCTGATGCTGTTGTAATGAGGTCTGTATACAGTCCTTAGCCACTGCTGCATGGGCCTCATGCATAGCCTGTCATGAGCTACCACTCGTGTGGCTGCTGCCATATGGCTTAGTAACTGAAGACAGGCGTTGGCTAGAACTTGTGGACTGGTTTGGAGCAATGCAATAAGGTTCTTGATGGACTGGAATCTTTGCTGTGGGAGGGAGGCTCTCACCTGAACACAGTAAAGGTGGGCCCCGATAAAGTCAATAGTCTGCACTGGTTGTAGTCTGCACTTGGGTAGATTTATTTGTAGCCTGAGGGTCTGGAACAGAGTCCTGGTTAATGAGACTATGTTGTGGGCTTCTAGGCTTGTGGTTGCCCGTATCAGACAATTGTCGAGGTAGGGGAATATGGATACGTCTTGCTTGTGGAGATGAGTGGTGACCACCTTTTAAAAAAACCATTGGGGGTGTGGAAAGTCCCAACGTTAACACCCTGTATTGGAAGTGGGCGCTGCCCAGGGCAAATCTTGGGTATTTTCGATGTGCTGGGTGGATAGATATGTGGAAGTAGGCATCCTGAAAGTTGAGAGTTGATAACCAGTCCCCCTTGTTTAAGGATGGTATTATAGTAGACAGAGTGTCCATCTTGAAGTGTTGAGAACATATGTGGCAGTTGACCCTTCTGAAATGGAGCATTGGTCTCCCTCTTCCCGATGTTTTTGTTGTGAGGAGGTAATGGGAGTAAAACCCGTCACTGTACTGGTGGGGTATGGGTTCTATCTAGAAGAAGATGATATTTGATCTTTTGTTGGTCTCATGAGATGGGTCCCTGAAAGGGGATGGGAGGGTGGATGGGAAATGGAATAGAAGAAAAAGGGGTGCAGTATCCACCCTTCACGATGTCCAACACCCACTTGCCAGTCGTAATGGAGGACTATTGATGGTAGAAAGGAAGTAGGCGATGGTGGAAAACATGGTGGGGTTGCCTTAGATGAGGGGTTATCATCAGACTCTTGACCTGATCTTCAAAATGTTTGTCTAGAGGTTGAAGGTTGGGAGGTAGAGGGCTGGGCAGGGATCTGCCTCTGTCTAGTTTGGCATTGCCTTCTATTGTTGAAGCACCTCTGAGCTTGAGTAATAGGCAAAGGCAAATAGCATTGTATAAAATATCTGCCGTGTTTATGCTTTGTTGCAGAGACATGGATGTTGAGGGTTTTTAATGTCATCTGCGAGTCCTTGAGAGAAGGGAGTAACACATGAGTAGTATCTGCAAACAATTTTGAAGTGTGGAAAGGAAGGTCCTCGACTGTGGCCTGTACCTTGTGGTAGACAAGTGGAGCCATGAGAATATCCTCATTACAATGGCAGTGGCAATTGATCGTGATGCTATGTCAGATGTGTCCAGGGCCACTTGTAGGGGCATGTGGGATATCAACATGCCCCCATTCATATTAGCTCTGAACTCTTCTCTTTTCTCATCCGAAAGGCTGTCAAAGTGAAAATTGCTCAAAGATGTAATGCGTATATTTTGCGAGCATTGCTATGTAGTTGGATATACGCAGCTATAAAGATGCAGAGGAGTAAACCTTTCTACTCATAAGGCCTAGGCACTTCCAGTCCTTATCATACAGCGTGGTTCTGACTGCGCTCTGCTTTCCCCTCTGGTTAACAGCATCCACCACTAAGGAGTTAGGGAATGGGTGAGGGGAAAAAAGGAAGTTGGCACTTTGAGGGCAACATACTATTTACAGTGAGATCTATTGCAGATTGTGGCTGGCATCTGCCAAATGATATTGGCAGGATACATAAGCACCAGGGCCATTGTTAAGGCCTGTTTAGCAGCCGGGGAGGCATGAAATATGCTGGTCAATTCATGTTGCATTTTGGGGAGACTCACTAGAGAACATCCACAACCCTATTGTATAGTTCTTAGAATAAACGGAAGTCATATCCCACCTTGAGAGGTGGAGGCATTAGGGTATCATCAGGGGAAGAAGAGGATATGAGAGTTGGAGGATGAGAAGATACAGTGGATCCCTCATCACTTGAGACTGGGTAATCTTCCTCTTGGTAGGCTGACCTGTCAAAAGATGGCAGGGATGTCGCTCTTGATGGTGCTGCAGGAGCGAGGTGGAATGAGATGTAATTGCTGGGATCAGTATGATGCCATGGGTCCCAATAGGGCCAGTTAGGCGGGAGTGGTACAGAAGTGGGCAACCGCTGTGGTGGCTGCCATTACAGTGCTATTTGTTGCTGTTGTGGCTGCTTTGGGGAGAAAGGGCTTGGGTATCAACCAAGGGTTCATCTTCCTCGTCACTTGACAGCGGCGGTGCCGAGCCTGATGTAGTTGAGAGTGGGAAGCTGCCGGACGAGGGTATACTGTCAGTGCCAAATAAAGGGGTTGCGAACACTGACATTACTCTGAGCTCCTCCGAGGTAGTGAAAGGGAGTGGTTGCAGGGTCTCCAGTGCTGATCACAGCATAGATGGTGTTATTGCCATGTGGGAGATCATCGGCACCAAACTCTTCAGTGTTGATGGTGCCATGTGAGGCCTGGCCTTCTTTGGTGCCAACAGTGCTTCAGCTGAGGCTGATTTGGCCTTTGCTTTTGTTGGTACTGGGATGGGTGGAGACGGTGCCGGTGGTGCCAATTTTGACTTAGGCTTGTCTAGCGCCTTTGTGCCTGTCTTGATGAGGTTCTTGGACCCTCAGGAACCGTTGGTGCCAGACAGTCCCAGTACCTCCCTGTCTGGTGCCCTGGTAGAGGTCAGTGCAGGGGGTATTTTGGGTGCTTGTCCCTGTTTCTTTGAGGTAGAGTCATCCGTACCTGAGGAATGAAATCTCTTTCTGGATTGCTCAGAAGAAGAGTCTCAAACTAGAGCTCGCCAAAGCCACGTTCTCAGACATGGCAAGAGGAGAGGGTTACCAAGGTGGGGTAGAGTGCTCTGGGTCTGAGGCTAGCTTCACTGTGTTCTCAACTGAGAGAGGTTTGAGCTGGAGCTCCCTTGCTTTGCACATGCAAGCTGTTAGCTGCTTGCAATGCTGGCAATGAGCAGTGGCGTGGCCCTAGGCACCGTATACAGTGTGAGTGCCTGTCAGAGGCAGAAATTGAAAGCAGCATTTAAATCCTGGGGAACCAGGCATCCTAGGTAAACACTTTGTCTAAGGCAGAAGACAGCCTTAACAGGAACAGAAGAAGAAAAAAAATTACAAGAATTAACTAGAAAGAACTACTGCTACCTATAAAACCACTGACACTATACTAAAAGATAAGAACAAGATAAATTCGAAAATCTATTGTAAAACTGGAGAGCAACTGAGGTTCCAACCAATGCCACTGGTGGCAGAGAAGGAACTGAGCGGATGGTTGGCTGTGCATGTGTAGTAACGGCACTATGCGTACCATAAATCTACAACTAGGCACACAGCAGCGCCCCAAAGTGCTAAGGTGGAACACCCACAGGGACACTCCTTGAAGAGCGAATATATTGGTTTCCACCTATGATCCCCATTACCATAATATCTGAGTGCTTGATTATACTTTTAAGACATAAACTTTCTACACATTTCCTCTTTATGTACTGGAAATAAGAAAACTTGCTTACCAACATGAATATTATCCTTAAATGCTGTCTTCTGAAGCAGAAATATTAAGTGATGGCTAAATTTTTCATCAGTACTGGAATCTAAGTTCAAGACATCTTCAGCTGAACATTTAACTCCATAAAGTTCTTCCAGCTTTTTACTAACAAGCTGAAAAATACAAATAATCGGGCTTTTTTTAATGTTTTTTAAATAACTTAGTGGTATCCATAGATATTGACAAAAGGGGAGATTTTATGTCTTCATTCATTTCAAAGATATTTTTGGTTTTAAACATCATTTTTTGTATTATGAAATTCCATGGCTTATTAAATACTAATAAAAATACAAACACAGGCTGCACCAGTAACAGATTCTTGCAAATTTCCAGTTTCTCACCTAAAAGCCTAATATATGGTTTCATCTGCACATTTTTGTTACATTGCTTCCAAAGTACAGTTTACCGGGTGTCCAATAAAAACATAGTATCAGTTAACTGTTTAAACCAGTGTTTTTTAAACTTTAAGACCAAGGAACACCAAACAATTTTTTTTTATGAGGAACACCAAAGATTTTTTTTTGGTCGCCTGCCCCTTTAAACCCTTGAAAGGCGGTCATTTTTAACTCTGTTGTTCTCCACTGCACACCTCCAACTGCCTCGCAGGACACCAGTGTGCAAATGAATACAGTTTAAGAAACACTGGTTTAAACAGTTATACAGTCAGGGAGCCAGCTGCGCAGCTGCAATGTAAAGCTTATAGTGCAGGGCCAGCAGCTGGGATCCAGCTCCCAGCCACACTAGCTGCCAGCTCTACTCCCAGGGATCTTGCAGTGTGTAATCATGTAACTACTGTAATCATGTAACCATTGTGAACAGTTACATGGTTACCTAATTAATGATTTTTAACATCCCTAGTGAAAACTAATATTGGAGACTTTACAATCCAAACTTACAATAATTTAGTCATATTATATCTAGAGCCAGACTAAACATCTTAGATCCAGGAAGTCCAAAACTTTCAGATCTTGGTACCTCAGATCCCTCTCTTTTAGATCCAATAATTTTCTTTGAGGATTCCTTATATTTCAGAACTGACTCACATGCCCACAAAGAATATGGACCCTCCAAGCACTTCTCCAAGAGGAAACCCCTCATTCAAGTCTGTGACTCCTTTCTCTCCTAGCAATAAGCACGAATGCACAAAGCTCTGGAGATAACATTGGAGATAACATTCCATTACAAGCCCCACCAAATCTACTTGAAAATCTCACATGTGCTAATTACTAAAATCAACAGTTAACAAGAAGTGATTCTATTGAAGAATAAAAAAGGTCTAAGTTCAATAAAAACCAACAGGGGGGGGGGGAGAGGGACTGACAACTGCAGTAGCTAGGAAAGAGAAGAACTTAGGGAAAAACAGAGGGGGAGCATGTTAGAACCCAGGAGCATGCCAATATGCTTTTGTTAGAACCCAGGAACATGCCAATGTGCTCCCTAATTTTACTTCTTTCTTTGGTTCTATGGTTCTTGTATTAGCAGGGATGAAAAAAAATTCTTACAGGTACTGTCCTATCACAATCCACCCCAGGGATGCCAGGTAGCTGGGCTAGGAGTGCCTCTCCCCTCCCGCAGCAACTAAGCGCCCCAGTCAGCCAGTTTCTTGCTGGAGTGCTGAATCCAGAGTGTACTAGCTTACTTTTGCCTCTGTATACAGTAAAACTCCATTAGTCTGGCATCCAATGCTCCGGCACTCCTGATGGTCCGGCACCATCAGGAACCCGGAAGTGCTCGGGGCAGCGGACAATTGGAGCTGTTCTGCGCCCGGCTTCCCTGATTCAGCCGCTGCTGAAACTGACCAGCAGATGAATCGGGAAAGCCAGGGGCAGAGCAGCTGGGGTACGGCTGGGTTGGTCCCATAGCGCTGCCCCTTGGGGCTGCAGGACCAACCCGGCAGCACTCGAGCTGCTCTGTCCCAGGCGTCCCCAAGAGCAACTGGAGTTCTGCTGGGTTGGTGCGGTAGCGCCGCCCCTCGGCGCTGCGGGACCAACCTGGCAGCACCCCAGCTGCTCTATTGCAGGCATCCACGATTCAGCTGCTGCTGAAACTGACCAGCAGTGGCTGAATTGGGGACGTCTGGGGCAGAGCCGGACTATCGGAATGGGGGGCTATGAGGGATCTGGGGTGGCATCCCCTCCACCCCACCCCAGACACCTCATAGCCCCCCCTTCGCATCGGCATATATGATAATCCGGCATCTCCTGGGTCCTAAAGGTGCCGGATTATCAGAAGTTTACTGTACTGCTTATCTGTACGTAGCACATAAAAGAGGCAATGGGATTGTTCTTGTGTGTGTTCTTACAACATAGCCCATGTGTGTGCTGCACATGTACATGACTAGAATTATTGATGGACATCTAGTGTAGTTTAGTGATAATCATATGCGTCTTCATAACTCCTGTTGATACTGCTGAAGGGAGGCACACAAAATTGCTGTTCATGGACTGACAGATCATTTTAGTGGGCTTGCAAATGTAGTGCCTGCAGGTCTGAATGTTCCCTTAGAATGAACATCACCTCAAGTACATTTGAAAGCCATTTATACCTGCTAGAGTTGACTTTTGTTGTCATTATCCTGTATATTCTTGTTTCCACTAAATGTTATTGCTCTCAAAGCAAGAGTCATGAACTCTGCGGTAAAACAAATGACAAAAGAGATTCAGCACTATCACTGCCATTACCTTTCATGACAACAGCCAAATGATGCTACATATGAATATTGCTGAGGCTACGTCTACACTGCACAGTTATTTCGGAATAAGCTATTCCGGAAGATATTATCGGAAGTTTACTGTATCAGGGCACATAATCCATCATGAAAGAGAAATTACAAACCTCTGGTGAACATGCTGTCCTAGCAATCACCACCACTTTTACTGTTCGTTAAAAAGCAAAGTTTCCTGGTTTTCCTTTGAAGCAGAAAAACCAGAAACTTCACTTTTAAACTAGCTGTATCTAGTTTTCTTAATTTTCTCTAAAAATGTGTTAATCAATTTTCATTTCATTTGGGATAACGTCAGCTATGGACTAACTATAAGGAAAATGTCTTCACTTTATTCTCCTTTTGAGCCGTATTAATGCCATTAACAAGTAAAACAGACCTACAGTAAGTTCTATTTTAATTATTTCAGTTTTACCTCAATTAACTTTGCAATCATCCTCTTCCCATCAGCTCCTGGATTAACTAGTTTATAGAACTCCAAATCAAAATACAGTTTGCAAACTGCTTTTTCAGGAATAACTTCATAGCAGTGCATAAGACTTGTTTTACGTTCTTTGCTAAACAGAAAATAGTCAAGAGTGATCATCCATGTTTAGGAACAATAATTCAAAAAATGAAAGATTTTTATTCCTCTTTGGTGAAACACTTGTTGAAATTCTTTAAAGACTAGCCCTACTTTGTTCTGATCAACAAAGTATTTTGTTATTGTAATGAAAGAAACACTGTAAACATACATTTGGTCTAAACTTTAAATTTTGTAAAAAAATAAATGTTTACAAACACCTAGGACCAACAGATATGTTTTCATGATTAAAATTAACTAATGGAAACAATCATTTTAAACAATGAAACTATCTTTGTCACATTTTATAGTGCAAACCACCAGTGCTGAAAATCTTAAAGTAAATCTATAATGAAAATGGAACCAACTTCTCTTAATTTTGATATAACACTGAGAAAAATGCAAAATGTAAAGAGCTTAAATAAAAATTCTGTCACTTGATAATCAGATGCATCATTGCTAAATCATTTACAGATATTTTAATTTTTAAGATGATTTTAGATCTTTATTAGACTTTTCAAAACCAGAACTTGATCATGTGATAAGTTTCTATTAAATGACTGTTAAGAATTATATATTAAAATGGTTGCTGGAGATGTAATCATTTCATCTGCTGATGCACTAGAATGGATCATTCACTATGGATACGAATTCTCTTCTGTGTTCAAGCACTATAGCACTTTTGAGAGGATCAGTGTTAGGGAGCCAGTTATGGTACCCTGCTTCTGAGAGCTGGTTTATACCAGCCCCAGTCCTGATGAGATTTAAAGCAGCTGAGTATACTCACTTGTAATAAAACCAAAGCTCTGTATATGTTGTCACAAGATAGTACCTTTGTCCATCTTCTTTGTTCATTTCCAAAGCAAACACATGAACATCCTTTTTAAATTAAAAGAAAGAGTTAACTGTTCCTTTTTCAGATCACTAATTGAAATCTTTTGCTTGATATTAGTTTCTCAGAGCAAAGATTAATAATTATTTTCTAATTAGCAACAACCTATCAAATGATGGTTTAGGCTTTTTTCTTTAAAACCCAAGTACCTTTTATTGCTAAGTAAGAGCCAACTTTTTATTTAAATTACACCACTGTAACTTTTGAAAAGCTCACTTAAGCCAGTAAAAGCTACTAGGGATTTGCATCGGTACACATGAGATCAGAATCAAACCCTAAAGTGGTACAGTAAAACTCCATTGGCCCAGCATCCAATGCTCCAGCACTCCTGATGGTCCGGCACCATCGGGAACCCAGAAGTGCGGGCAGCTGGACAATTGGAGCTGCTCTGCGCCCGGCTTCCCCGATTCAGCCGCTGCTGAAACTGACCAACAGCTGAATCGGGGAAGCCGGGAGCAGAACAGCTGGGGTGCTGCCGGGTTGGTTCATAACGCTTCCCCTCAGGGCTGTGGGACCAACCTGGCAGCACCCCAGCTGTCAGTTTCAGCAGCGGCTGACTTGGGGATGCCTGGGGCAGAGCAGCTGGGGTACTGCAGGGTTGGTCCCCGTCTGAAACTGACCAGCAGCGGTTGAATCGGGGACGCCTGGGGCAGAGCCGGACTATCGGAAGGGGGGGGGCATGAGGAGTCTGGGGAGGCATCCCCCCCCACCCAACCTCAGACCCCTCATAGTCCCCTCTTCTGATAGTCCGGCATATCTGATAATCCGGCACCCCCTGCGTCCTAAAGATGCCAGATTATAGGAAGTTTACTGTATTAGGGCACATAATCCATCATGAAAGAGAAATTACAAGCCTCTGGTGAACATGCTGTACTACCAATCACCAAATTACAAACCTCTGGTGAACATGCTGTCCTAGCAATCACCACCACTTTTACTGTTCGTTAAAAAGCAAAGTTTCCTGGTTTTCCTTTGAAGCAGAAAAACCAGAAACTTTGCTTTTAAACTTGCTGTATCTAAACACACTTTTCTTAATTTTCTCTAAAAATGTGTTAATCAATTTTCATTTCACTTGGGATTACTTCAGCTATGGACCCTACCCCACCCCACCGCAGACCCGTCATAGCCCCCCCTTCTGATAGTCCAGCATATCTGATAATCCGGCACCCCCCTGGTGAACATGCTGTACTACCAATCACCACCACTTTTACTGTTCGTTAAAAAGCAAAGTTTTCTGGTTTTCCTTTGAAGCAGAAAAACCAGAAACTTTGCTTTTAAACTTGCTGTATCTAAACACACTTTTCTTAATTTTCTCTAAAAATGTGTTAATCAATTTTCATTTCACTTGGGATTACTTCAGCTATGGACCCTACCCCACCCCACCGCAGACCCGTCATAGCCCCCCCTTCTGATAGTCCAGCATATCTGATAATCCGGCACCCCCCTGGTGAACATGCTGTACTACCAATCACCACCACTTTTACTGTTCGTTAAAAAGCAAAGTTTTCTGGTTTTCCTTTGAAGCAGAAAAACCAGAAACTTTGCTTTTAAACTTGCTGTATCTAAACACACTTTTCTTAATTTTCTCTAAAAATGTGTTAATCAATTTTCATTTCACTTGGGATTACTTCAGCTATGGACCCTACCCCACCCCACCGCAGACCCGTCATAGCCCCCCCTTCTGATAGTCCAGCATATCTGATAATCCGGCACCCCCCTGGTGAACATGCTGTACTACCAATCACCACCACTTTTACTGTTCGTTAAAAAGCAAAGTTTTCTGGTTTTCCTTTGAAGCAGAAAAACCAGAAACTTTGCTTTTAAACTTGCTGTATCTAAACACACTTTTCTTAATTTTCTCTAAAAATGTGTTAATCAATTTTCATTTCACTTGGGATTACTTCAGCTATGGACCCTACCCCACCCCACCGCAGACCCGTCATAGCCCCCCCTTCTGATAGTCCAGCATATCTGATAATCCGGCACCCCCTGGGTCGTAAAGGTGCCGGATTATCGGAAGTTTACTGTATTTTCCTAGTAAAATCTTATTTTGATCATTGGCACAGTACTATCAGTAGGAAGAGAAAATGTGGAGAGAAGAGGATTCCTAATGAAGAGAGAAGCAGCATATGGCCTAAATCAGTGGTGGGAGAACCTTATTTGGAGCATCATGGAGTGGCAGGCAGCTCCCCAGGTGAGGGGCCAAGAACGTATTTGCTGCTGGCCCTGCTTTCAGGGACTATTGAATAGTCATGCAACCAATAATATTTTGTGCGGGTACACGACTATTCAATTAATTGCTAACATCTCCACTTCTATTATTAGACATTAATCACACAACTAGAATCTTATGTTAGAACGAGCCCCCTATTAAATCAAATAACAGAGTCTAATGTTAAAACTGCGGTGTATTACAACAGATATATCATGTTGCTCTTTAAGGAAAAAAATTGTCTGATATATCAGGACTGCACAACTAAAGAATTCTAAAACCTGAACCAAACTGTGTAGGTTAACAAATGAAGTTTCTAAATAATGAAGACACCTTCTACCAATTTAATACCTTACCTCCTTACAGGTTTTTGCATAGTTAAAAGCCTGAGCTTGTCGATGAAACAAATTCCAAACAGAGCGCGGTTGCCATGGTTTAGACAAGTGTGGCCTGTAAATAGGGCAAAGTGGCTTTCTTTTATATTGAGATGCTAGTTCATCAACTTTCTTCAATCTTTCTTCCCATTTTCTCTTCATTTGTCCTAAAGCAGTCAGGAAATGAACTTTTAGTACTACATTAAAAATAACGAAATCAAAAACATGTTGCATGTGCTTCAATTTCTCATATAGCTGTGCATACCTCTGTGATTGATCTGCACTCTGCTTCATGACTAAGAACAGCCTATATTCCCAATCAACACACAATTTAGCTGTGAAACTCCTTTTAATACTAAGTTCCCCACATGATTAGAAAATATGAGAACATCAATTGTATGAACAATCAAGTTATAAATGGCCAGGCCTATTTTATTATCAACATAAAGTGGAGGTTACTCACCTTGTGCAATAACTGGAATTCTTTGAGATGGGTGCCCCTGTGGCTGGCTCCACTGTTGTCTTGATGCCCCAGCACTTGGTACCGGAATTTTTCAGCAGCAGTACCCCCGAACCTAGGTGGCAACGAAAACGTGCTGACACACACGCGCCATCAACTGCCTGTCCGTTCTTTTTCTACCACAGAAAGACGTTACAGCTTCGCAGCAGAGGGGAGGAAGGCAGGTTATGGAGCACCCATAGGGACACCCATCTCAAAGAATTCCAGTTAGTGCACAAGGTGAGTAATCTCCACTTTCTTCTTCAAAGAGTGTCTCTGTGGGCGCTTCACTGTAGGTGACTACAGAGCAGTGCCATCAGTCTCTGGAAGGAGGGGCTTCAGATGCAGACGGTGAACTGTGGCTAGCACTGTCTGCCTGAACGTAGTGGACTGTGAAGCTTAAGTATCTATAGCATAGTGCTTCGCAAATGTATGGACAGAAGCCCACTCTCCTTACCGTTGTGGTTGCTAAGAAGAAAGCCACCATTAACATGTAAAAGTATGCATCCTGGAGATCAAGGGACGACATCCAATTTCCCTATTCCAATGACGGAATTATCTTTGCTAACATTACCATGGTGAATCTTTGCTTTTTTAGATACTGGCTCAGTCTGCGTAAGTCCAGAATAGGCCTCCAACCTCCTGTTTTTTTGGAGTAAAGAAGTATCTTAAGTAAAATCCCTTTCCCCTGTGATGAGCTGGTACAATTTCTATTGCCCCTAGTTGTAGCAGTCTGTTTACCTCCTGTTGTAGCGGGGGCTCGTGAAAGGGGTCCCTGAAGAGGGACAGCGAAGGAGTTTGTGTTGCAGGGAATTTGGTGAATGGTAGGGTGAAGCCTTTTTGCATTACCTCTAAGGCTCACTTGTATGTAATAATCTTGGCCAATGATTGGTAACAGGGCTGCAAACTGCACTGAAAAGTTGCACAGGGAAAACAATGTTGAACCCTCAATAAGATCTTCAAAAGGCTTGTCAGCCATTGGTCGTATGAGACGTGGTTGGCTGATCCTGTGTCTGCCTACGTTTTTGTTGTCTTTGCCTCCTCCTGAAGTTATAGCTTCTCAGGGGCGTGAAAGATTATGATGCTCTGCCCTGCGGTGTATATTGCCTGTTTAGTCTTTTTCTGGGGTTGGGTAACATATATGCCCAGGGTCTTCAAGATTGCTCAAGAATCCTTGAGGGAGTGAAGGGAAGCATCTGTTGTTGTAGAAAAAAGTTTTTGGCCCTCGAAATTAAGATCCTCAATGGTATTTTGTACCTGTCTAGGAAATCTTGAGAGAGAGAGCCAGAATACCTGTCGAATGACTACTAAGGTAGCTAAGGACTGTGCTGCAGTGTCTGCCATGTCGAGGGATGCCTGAAGTGCCATTTTGGCTATAAGGAATCCCCCTTCAATGTTGGATTGGAAAGATGGTTTACTATCATCCGAAAGCTGTTCAATAACATTTTTCATATAATCAAAGTGGTGGTATCTGTATTTTGCCAACAGCACCATATAGTATCTTTTGCAGATGTCACTTCTCGAGGTTTGTCCATACCGGACTTCCCTGGTGCATCCTCAGCAGCCTTTCCCTTAGGTGAAGGAGGGTTACTACGGGGAGATAATCTCTTCAGTGCTCTCTCTGCAGAGGGTGAAGAACGCTTCCTTTTGGTGCTCTTTTTGGCCGGGATATCTCTTGGAACTGAGGGGCCTTGGTCAGGAGCTGCCATTGGTGAGGTGCTCACCGGAAAGACTTGAGGTGCCGTTTCGGAGGCTGATCTCTCCATTTTTTCCGAGTGAGGAGTTCTAACTGCAGCTCTTTCGTCTTCAGAGATCTGGCCCAGAGTTTTTTGCAATGGTGGCAGCTCTTGAGCGAATGTTCTTTGCCTAAGCATCAGATGCATTGGACATGTCCGTCCAAAATGGGTATGGACATGCAGCATGTCAGACACCGTTTAAATTCCAGTGAAACTGGCATGTTTGAACAACCTACTGTAACTATTGAAGCAAAAATAACTTTTTTTTTTTAAACAACTAAAACTAACTACTCGGAGGGGTAAACCGTGACGAGACCTCAGCTCTTAGTAAATATTGAGTACTTCATGGAACGCTGCTGTGTTCCGACCAAACCAGAAGAGGTTGAGAAGAAACTGACAAGCAGTTGACGGCACGTTCGCTACGGTGTGGGCGGTGTGCGCGCTGCCATTCGGAGGGTGGGGGGAGGGGGAAATACTGCTGCTGCAAAGTTCCGGTTCCAAGTGCTGGGGTATCAAGACACCTACAGTGGAGCGCCCACAGGGACACTCCTCAAAGAACAACAGAAATTATTTAGAATAGGGGTAAGACTCAGGATAATGCATGATACTGTGTGTATTTAATAACATTTACATCTTCAAAATGTACAGATTGCATTAATTCATTCTCACACCATCCTGTGATGGTAGGTAAATGTCATACCCATTTTATAGTCAAGAAAATGAATTAAGAAAAGTTAAATGATTTATCTAGGCTGACACAGGAAGTCACTACCTGAGTGAGGATTAGATCTCAGTGGATTCTGTCTCTTAGCCTTATGCCTGTAAGGCCCAACTGCCACTCAAAGGGTACATCTAGACTGCGAGGCTCTTTCGGAATAAGCTTTTCTGGAAGAGATCTTCCGGAAAAGCTTATTTCAAAAGAGAGCGTCCACATGCAAAAAGTGCAATGAAATAGATATTTGCTATTTCAAAAGATAGCATCCACACTAATTGGATGCTCTCTCTCATATAAGGCCACCCGGAACCACTTCAGGTAGGGCATTAGGTCAGCAGTTGCTTCCAGGTGCTATTGCCTAAGGCTGTCTGAGATGCATGCTTAAAGGGACCCCTCCAGACAACTGTTTCTCAGCGTCTTCTGTGTGCTTGCCTACCTCTCTGAGGGACAGCAAAGCATTTGCAGTGTGTGCTGTAGTTGCCCAGCTTTTGGACACCATAGCATGCTCCTTACCATGGAGCCAGAGCTGCCTCTGGGCTTATGATAATCCCATACTGCCATGCTGCAATTTCTACAATAATTTGTGCAGGCTGCCTTCATGGTTCTGCAGGAGCTTGACTCCGAGCTCATCATTAAAACCCTCGGCCTGTGTGCGGCAGTGAGGCCCTTGCAACTGCACCCCATGGTGGAGAGAAGGTTCTGGAGGCTGGACACCAGTTCTGACTGGTGGGACCGGCTGGTGATGGAGCAGTAGGATGACCAGCAGTGGCTCCAAAACATCAGGATGAGGAAGGCCACCTTCATGGACTTATGTGCCTGGCTCGCCCCTGCCCTCCAACAATGACACACCCAGATGCAACCCAACATCCCCCTGGAGAAGCAAGTCACCATTGCCATCCGGAAACTCGCCACCCCAGATAGCTACCGATCTGTGGACAATCAGATTGGTGTGGGAAAGTCCACCATCAGGGCCCTCCTTGAGGAGGTAAGGCACTGTGGGGCTGCAGTCCCTGGAAGGGGGGAGGGGGAAATCATGAAAAGTGGAACCC